CAAATAAGCATATGAAAAGGCGCTCCATATTGTATGTCATCAGCAAAATGCAAATCAAAGCCACAGTGACATACCATCACACACCGACTAAAATGGACAAAATCCAGAACACTGACAACACCAAATGCTGATGAAGATGTGGAAGAGGAACTTGTACATTGCTGGTGGGAATGCAAAATGGTACAGCCACTTTGGAAGACAGTTTCTTACAAAACTAAACATACTCTTACCATATGACCCAGTAATTGCACTCCTTTGTATTTACATAGATGAGCTGAAAACTTACGTCCATACAAAAACCTGTACATGGATATTTATAGCAGATTTTTCATAACAGCCAAAACTTGGGAAACCAAGACATGCCTCAGTAGGGGAATGCATAAATAAACTGTGGTACATTCAGACAATGGAATATTATTCAGGGCTAAAAAGAAATGCACTATCAATCCATGAAAAGATATGGAAGAGACTTAAATGCATATTACCAGGTGAAAAAAGTCAATCTGAAAAGGCTACATATACTATGACTACAACTATATAAGATAGTAGAAAAGGTAACACTATGGATAGTAAAAAGATCAGTAGTTGCCAGAGATGGGGGTGTTAGGATGAATAGGTTTAATGTGGAGGATTTTCAGGTCAATCAAAATACTTTGTATCACACCATAATGATGGAAACATATCATTACAGTCCAAATCCATAGAATGGACAACACCGAGAGTGAATCTTAAGGTAATCTATGGACTTTGGGTGATTATAATGAGTCAATGTAGGTATATCAATTGTAACAAATATACTATCCTGGTGGGAGATGTTGATAAAGTGGGAGGATATTCATGTATGGGGGCAGGAGGTTATGTGGGAAATCTCTGTACCTTCCTCTCAATTTTGCTGTGAATCTGAAACTGCTCTAAAAAATAAAATCTTAATTAAAAAAACAAATCAGGTGGTCACTGTGCTTAACCCTATTCTTGAAATATAACATTTTTCTAGATAGAATGCTTTCAATATGAACATATGACTAGTTAATGGAATAGATTACATTTTACGGTTCCCTAGAAAGAGCTATTGATGCTTATTTGATTTGGGGACAGCTTATAAAAAAGCCTTGTGGATATCAAGAAACACACAAGGAAACATGCACACACACACACTCCTGACACATATAAGCATATAATTACCCTTATCAGGTAAATTCACTAATCTCACTCACAAACAGCAGATGATTAATATGCTAATAGCTTATTACTGTTTATAGGCTAAATACCAAGAGAAAACCTTGGCAAACGAATTTATTTGGGTTATACATCTTTTGTTAAATATAATTCTTTTTGGAACATGGCTTTCTTCACATGTTATGAGGACCAATGTTCAAAAGAAATTAGGAATATAAAACATTACAACTAATGCTCAAATTTGGCATTCATTTTATTTCACAGAAATGACTGTTTTGGGCCAAAATTATCACAGACTGAAAGATATACTTTATACAAATATAGATTGTGAAGGAAAAATATTTTTGAATATTTAATATTATATTTTTAAAGTAGTAATCAGGTTTGCATCCAGGATAATTACGCTTTATACTTTTATTCAGTAATTTGTGCAGAATATTGGAAGTACAATTTTAATTCATCTATTGTATTAAATCCCATTTTACATACAATACTACCAAACAATAATTAAGCAGGATTGGTTGACAAAATAATTTTAAAAGGACATAAGATTTTGCAGAATCTTATCCATGTCTATCTTACTGTCAACAGTGAGTGATCCTCATACCTTCCTGCAATTTACCCTGCATTTGACTTTTAAATTTTCAGGTCTAAAAGTAAAAGCTATTAACTTTTAAATATTTAGGACATAATCATGCTGAAAACTAATTTATATTATGCCATAATTTCCTTTCTTTAAACATTATTAGATGACATGGGGCTAAACTACAAAAGCAAACTGTGGACGAACTTAGCATTTAATTCACAAGTGAGAAATTTAACCTAAAGTAACAAATAAAAGGTAGTCTAATAAAATAGGCCTTAATGAGCTTTGAATTTCTAATCTGTCCAGAGAACAGCTTTTATAAAGCAAAGACTGAATAATATCAACTGTATTGCAAAGGCTATGTGGCCTTCTGACTACACTAATGCTCTAGCCTGCCTTGATTTCAGGTAACCTAGTGTGTTTTTCTTCATGTAAAAAACACCAATCATTATTCAGTTTTCTAGATTTTTGAAAGTGCCTAGCTAAGTTTATATTCTTTCGGAGGTATGCTAACCTTATGGAGTTAGTGGCTGAAAAAGAAATCAACACAGTTTGGGAATGCTAAAATTTAATCTGTTGGATCATAATTTCAGAAAAGAATACTTGCAAAAATTCAAATGCATAAATAGAACTCAGAAAGTATAGAATAGTCAGAACTCAATTCATCTTAAAAATATATTTTTCAAGATATTAACTGTATAATTTACACTGATGGCTTTTAAAGCTACTCCTATTAGAAACCAATTCTACAGCATAAAAGCCAATAAAAACAAGGAGGAAAAGTAATCAAAATACCACTTTATAATTAAAATTAAATTCAACCTATGAAACAAACTATCATCTCCCCATTTTAAAACTGAAATTTTAATACTTAATGAAGAAAAAGAAGAGAAGTCAGTTTCAGTATTTACTCATGACAAAAATCCCTGTGAAACTTGATGTTAGATACAAACTTTCTATGATTTTTATTGTATAAGTTAATAATTAACACATTAATCATGCAAAATAAAATAAAATGAAGTTTATCTTTTAAAATTGAATTATTTAAATCTGAGAAGTAAAGTGTAAAAGACCATCGTTCAAAGTTCATTATCTGATCACAATATTTGAGCTATAGCAAGGAAGTTTTAGGTAAATTTGGTAAGATAGATGATATCGAGTAGTTTAGTATGATTATTGCACGCTTGAGTCTCTTTGGGGAAATACAGTTTCTGAGTAAGTTTTTGAATTCACTATAATTTTCCTACTAAAGAACAGACCTACTTAGATCGTCAAATAGCCTCAAGCTTCTTTCTACCTGAAGGCCTTCACATAAAACGATGCCATTATGGGACTCTATTCTCCCACCTCTCTTTTCTTATGACTCTTATCCATCAACTGCTGCAGAAAGAATACCATCATTGCTGAAGATTTCCCTGAGCATCCATTTCAACCTCCCAAGTATCATGTAGGTCCCTCTATTATATACTCTGCAAATAACATGTGGCTATCCTTGGTAGCCCTTAAAAAATATATTTTATTAATTTTTATTATAATACTCTTAATTTCTATAATTTTTCCACTATAAGTCCCATGATATCAGGGACTTCTAATATCTTTTCTAACTCTGCATTTATCACTAAGGTAAACATTCACTAACTATTACAGATTTTGGACAGAATTATTTGACTGCAATAGTTTGAATATAAATCTGGTTTTGATCAATTATGAATATCTCTACTTCTAAATCATATTAATAGACTTATGACCATATATATCTAAAAAACGCAACTATTTTCAACGATATTAAGCTTAATTGAATCAGATCTTATTACCAACAATTCAAAGGCTGTTATAAATCTTCTCCAGACTTATGGTTTAAAATTTGACTTCTCTTATGTGATGAGGTCCTTATGCTATCAGGATTCAGCATGAATGAAATATATAGTAACTCTGAATAGCTAATCAATATTGATGAAACTACCAAATTAATTAAAATTGTGAAAGAGCCTTTGGCAGCCAAATATTAGAGAGTCCTAAGTTCAGATCCTTTGCCCCAAGCTCCCCTCCCCTTACTGCTTAGAAAGTTATCCTGCAAAAATTCCACTTAAAAGAGTCTCCTCTAGGTAATATACTGCCTGAACACCACCACCCGAGACCTGCCCAAAGCTGATAACTGCCTCTTGTTCATCACATTCTATCTAGTTTATAGCCCCATTAGCCTCTTTCAAATGTTACTACAAAGTATTGTAACTTTTTGAGCCTATCTGCTTCCCGTAGTACACACCGTTGTATTAAGAACAGGGATAGTTTGTTTTTTTTTTTTTTTTTTGAGGGAGACTAGCCCTGAGCTAACTACTGCCAGTCCTCCTCTTTTTGCTGAGGAAGCCTGGCCCTGAGCTAACTTCCATGCCCCTCTTCCTCTACTTTACATGTGGGACACCTACCACAGCATGGCGTGCCAAGTGGTGCCATGTCTACACCCGGGATCCAAACCCTCGAACCCCAGGCCGCTGAGAAGTGGAACGTGGGAACTGAACCACTGCGCCCCCGGGCCGGCCCCAAGGATAGGGTTTTACTCAATTCTACATTCCTGGCAAACCTCTCATTTTGCTAAGTAAAGACCTTACTACTATGCACATTGAGGAAATTAAAAAAATGATTATGTAGACCAATTTTATAAGGCAAAACATGGCTATTATTATCATTTTATTTATCAGCATGATTTTGAGTATCATGATTTATTGTCAATGATGGTAACTTATTTTACAATTCAATCATAATAGTGAAATGCAGTATGTTTTCAATGTTTATACTCATGCCCCTGATGGACAATAATGAGAACCTTATTCAAGAATTTTAATTTAATTTTAACTGTGTACCATATCTCAGTAGTTCTATCTGTAAACATCTAATTGGATGGCCCTTTGTGTAGCAGAGTGCCCCAGTGAAGAACCCAGTCTAGACTCACAAACAGCTTTCATGATGAGATTCCATCTCCGGCTACTATTTCCTGGATAGTAACCTCACTTCCCGTTACAAATTTCCTGCTCACCCTAAAAACTGTAGAGCTTTGTCAGTTGGAGTCTAGCACATAATGAAAAAAGAAAAGAAGATGGAAACAACATATAGCAATTAAAAAATAATATCCTCTAATTATACTGGATGGCAGCACATTAAAACTGCTTTTATCAACAGACTTCTCCCCATTATATATTAAAGTGGACAACTCCCTATTTCATTATATGTGGCAACTTACTCGCAAGGTTTTTTCCGCTCTCTGTGTAGCTTATACTCAGGTCTCTGTTCAGGATCTTCTCTGCTGTCCTTTAAATGTCAATGCTCTCACAAAAGCCTCTTCCTAGGTTAAAATAAAAAGAATAAACAGACTTTGCTTATTTTCTCTTACAGCATTTATTAGTGCCTTTTGATTTGTATAATGAAATTTCTTTGAAAGTCTTTATACATTTATTTTCAATTAATGACATATTTAGGTCAACTATATGAATGAATTAATTTTATAACATCCAATTATGATTTAAGTATGTTAGTATCATTTTATATTTTAAAAGTGAATTTCACCATTTTACCTTTCTTTTACATCACCACTAAATTTAATAAGTTATTGTCTATTCATGTTTCAAATTTCTGTTAGTGATATCTATCTAGTAATATAAGAAAAATTTTTTATTCATTGGAGCTATTCTTTCATCTTCATTTATTGATTTGAGAAAATTAAATAGCTTCCTTTTACATTTTTCTCTCAAAAAATGGTTTTCAAACAACGCAATGATATAACTTTCGAATGTAATTTCATATAGCTTGTTTGAGTGACTTGGAAAATGAATAACAGAAAGTCTATATCAACTTTTTATTCATGACATTATCCAATATGTTGACTGCCATTCACTGATAATGTCACAAATAACTCTGTTACCTACCACTGGCTTCCATTCAGGCTGTTATTACTTATTCTCGCATTCTGCAATTACTTATCATATAATTCAGTGGAGGGTAACCAACACATTTGAAAGCTTTCCCTTTCACCCCGCCCCTTGATTGACAGAATTCCTGGTTTCTATTAGAAGTGGATTCATTTGTATGTAAAATATTCTGTAACATTCAATTGCTTGCATAAAAATTTAAAACAAACAAGAATGAGTGCAATTTTGTCCTAGTTTCAACTGACAAGTGCTGGATGTTGCACACATTGAGGTAATTCTCAGAGGATTTTTGTGAGTATGACTATTTTTGAAGTATTTAGAGATATGTATCTTCAACAGAAAAACAAAAGAAACATTTTAAAAGAGGAAATATCAATAACCGTGGCATCCTGGATTATTTGATTTTGAGTCTTGAAGGTAAACATAATTCAAGTGACAGATGAATTTATGCCTCCAGCTGCACCTCTGCACGCTGAACTGCATATTTTTGAACATGGCAGCAAAGCTTGGATGCCTACTGGTTATATAGTTAAATAACACAATCTATATTCACAGCTTACAGATAGGACAGTTAGATCATAGAAATCAGTCACTTCTAATATTTTAATGTTTTGTTTTTACAGTTTTCTTACATCATGTTAAAATTTAGGAAATACACTTCACTTTTCATTCTAGCAAACAAGAGCCTCATTGTAATAACTGCAATGAAGGCTGTATTACTGAAACAAGAGAAGGCAAAGCTTAAATATCAAAATAATGTGTATTTTCACAGCTTTTGGATGATTGCAAAAGTAACTAAAGATTGTTACCCAAAGCTCCTTTTGCTAAAATTATATTAGCTAAAAAGGTTAGAATTAGACCCTCAATAGCAGTAAGGTAATATGACCTTTAAAGTTCAGAAATGTAATGACCAACCATGAAAAAAAGCTGAAATTTTCTATGGTTTGGGAAGAACACAGACAATAAAGTAGTATAATTATCTACATGAAATGTTTTTGAAGGTAGGATTATTATACATTTAGCCATTTGGACAGTCTTCAAAAATCTGGTGATGCATTGGGGGTAAGCAGCAAAGACTGAGTTTAATCATTAATTAATTGAACTTCAGAAACTGACTAAGGCTTAACTTCCAATGCAATTCTCAAATGGGGTATGAAGTAACACAAAGGACAATTGGATACATTATAGATATATTAAGGAAAATAAACTCAGATTTGCTTTAAGCATTTCAATTGATGTCTTCTAAAACATAACTTGACTGATTTCAGAGTATTGAATAGATTATTTTCATGTCAATTAAACCACAAACCCCTCTCTATCCACACATTGTGGGTGTAAAACAATGAAAAATAACTGTGATGAAGTCATCATGGCCATTAACTAGTTCTTTTACTCTGAAGAGGGAACCAAAACTGTTTTTTCCATCTGTGGAAGCAGTAAGGCATTATGAATTATCACTGACCCTTTACTATCTAGGTATCTATGAGGTGACTGATCACTGTTTTGCCCGGAAATAATTGTGACTTTGCTTTCAATGTTACTTGTTTTGCAAGCCGTCTAATCACCATGATCATCACAACAAAGTTCAGGATTTATGATTCTGTCAAATTCCACGGATTAAGTAGAGCTACGTTGTCAACTGCCAATGCCTTCATGCTTGGGTATCAAATCATAAGTTCTAAGTAGTTTATTTTCAAACCTTGAAAGTCTAACTAGTCAAAAGATCTAAATGTGAAAATACGTGAAAAATAGAATTGAGAGCTCATAATTTTGCTCATTTGTTTGATGTTTTGGTAGAATATCCTCCTTACCAATGAGGTTTTCTCTGCCAGACAGAGATTAATTGGAAATTAGCTTTTGCCATTTGTTTATCCCCTCTGAATTTTTAAATGAGTTCATGATGATACACAATATGTAGATATTGTGCTTAAGTAATGTGCCAATTGTGAAGGAAGGTGACTAAATATACAACAGGTAAAGTTAGAGGAAAGAAATTGTAGTAGTGATGTGTAACTTTTCAGTTTAAACAAAATTTCTCATGTAATTATAGGTAGATACCTGTAGATACCCATAATTAAATAATATAAATTATTATTTAAAGTAAGACTTTAGGTGAACAGGTAGACACTGTCATAGAATATTTTAGTTAAAATAATGAATATAATGCAGTTAATCAGTTGCTTCTAAGTGCACTGGAGAACTTGGAGAAAGAAAATATAAGCTGGATGCTTCAAACTTCAAGATTAAAGGCTTGAGTAAGGAACAAGAAAGCTTCTATGACTGTGCTAAACAGTCATTATTTCCTGTAGCCACAGGGCTGCTATTTCTGAGAACCAAACCCAGAGTCTAACCCTGTGAGTGGCTGAATTACAACACAAAGTGAACTTACAACCTCATAGGATCTATTATTATAACAATAGAACGTATTGGGAAATAATGGGAACCTGGAAATTGGAATAGGGGTATATGAGCAGAATCTCATGAGCTGAAGACACTGAATTCCCAAATTCCTTCTGATTCTCCTTGCAGTAAAGCCAGCCTTTCTTCTCTTCTTTGAAGAATGTAGTCTCTCCTTGTCTGAAAAAGTCCTCCTTGAAGTAGTTGTCAGGTAGGAGACTTCTGATCATCATCAGGACCCGTTACTCTAGCCTCTTACTCTGCTAGACCTCTAACTAGACTCAAGTACCAGTATGTCCCAGAGGCAAAGGTAAAAAGTGTGACCTACGAGGAGATGCAATGAACATCAACAATGATAAGATTATGTCAAATTACATCAATAGAAATGTGGAGCAAATGTTCTGAATGGATCTTGAGAGTGTCGTGTTAGAGTGAAAGAAATACAATGTTGTATCTGGCTGTAGTCCTTGATAGGGATACAGTATGTTAGCTAGGGTGAATGGAAATGGACCTAACAGTTTGCTTGGTACGTAGTGAAATCTAGACTCAAAGCTAACCCAAATTAAATGAAATTAAAATGCTATAAATTCCTTGGTAAACAATAAAGGATGTTATCCAGAGGATTAGGTACATTCGAATGTTAGAGTAGATGTCAAACGGTGGTGTGGACTACTGAAACTCAATTCCCTACGACCCCTAAGACAATATTCTTATTGTGTATTTTAACATGGCGAAAAACTTTTGGGTCATAGTTGTTAAGAGATAAACAAAGGAAAACAGATTAAAAACAAATCTCCCCTCAGCAAGAAAGAAAGAAAGAAAGAGCAAAGAACATCTTGGCAAAGTGTAATGAGGAAGTGGGAGCCCACGGGAAAACCTTGCTTCCCCAAATGAGACAGCAAGAAAACCTGCCAGAGACACCAGGGAAATATGCCAAGGTAACATATTTTCTCTGAGGGAAACAGAGTCTACGAGGAAAAGCAAATTGCAATTGGGGAAATAACTGAAAACAAAATCTGAAGCAGTAAGGAGACAAAAGGTAATGAGCTCAAGACAGAGGGGGGAGAAGAAAAGTAAGCTTACATTTATTTATAGATGTTTGCCTTTATCTGAATACATATGATAATGATTTTTCTTCTAAAATAGTATTGCTAAAAAGATTTCCACTATTCATGTATACGACTTTAGTATTCTATTATATGATGAATTATTGATGAGGAGGATAACGAACTTTTTATTACTAATCATAAATCTGCATTAGAATTACAATTCATATAGCAGCTGCGTAAAGTCCTAGTAATAAGTAGGATGTTACAACGCACTTTTGGAGTATGGCGTTTGGTCTTAACAGTATGAGATCAGTTTTCTTCTGTTTGTCTAACAAAGTCATCCCATTACTTCAAAGGTAAACTATAGAAACAAGTGAATACTTAGAGAAAAAGAAACATCCCCAAATTACAACAGGATAAAATATGGTGAGATAACTCTAATATTCAGCATTTTTTTTAACAAAATGTAAAATTGTATATAGAGTTGCACTTGCAAAATGAAGAAACTAAATTCCTACAAAATATCTCAGAACTTTTTAAAATATCTTAGAACAATCAACCAAGACAGCAGAGACCATATTAGTTTCCCCAAAAGAATCATTATTCTTATTGATACTTTATAACTGAGTAGATAATTTCACCAAAATATATTTTATTAAGACAATGCACTAGTAATTTTTCACTATATTTTTATGAGAATTGGTGAAGTCATATAAAATCCATTCAAACGTGCAGAGGATTAGGTTTTTATAAAGACGATTTTACTATGATTTTCTACAGAATCTAATGATTAATGTAGCATTTAACAATGACAATCCAATAAACATTTAGAAAGATATGAAGAAGTGATTTTACTGACATTTAAGTTACAAGCTAATAAATAGCATAATAAAAGCTGGAATTATACATTTTTCTATTTAACATAAAATTATATTGATTTAAAAATATTAAATGGTAACATCATATGTTCACATTTATTAGAAAATGAACTATTTTTCAGTTGAAATTCAGAAGTGTTTCCATAATTTCCTATTTATGAATAATCACAACAGTGGAAGAAACATGCAGTATTCAAGTATGAACTCACTTTAATAATGTTCAGTCTATTAATTAGATAAATACAGGATTACTGCTGAAACAGATCAAAAGGTGACCTACCTTTAAAAATTATACTCCTTTTCCAATATGTTATCTGAAATGTCAAAGTGCTTTGGAAACAGTAGCATCCTTATGCAGTATGATCCAGGTTAGGTCAACAGGCAACAAATGTATCTTTGCAATACCATATTGAAAAATGCGTGAAAGGAAATACGATAAAAGTTATTCAACAACTTTTTTTTTCCAGTTTCTTCATCATTTGTTTGTTCTTTGAAAATATCAGGAGTAAGATAAATATTCATCAGTTCTTTTACTCGTTTACAAAAAATATAATGTTGAAATACTTTCTTGCTTAACAGTTTAATTTGTATCACAAGCAGTGGTGGAAAATTCCAAAGCGCTTATCATTTTCTACAGCCTTTACATTTCTGCCACTGAGCTGAATGTAATTGATGATACACCAGCACTTTCAGGTTAAAAGTTTTAGAAAACAGGTCAATGCTACAAGCTTTTTATTTCTGGACTATCTTTTTTCTTTCCATACATACCTACTGTGTTTTTTAACATAAAAAATATAAAATAAGGTTAACTTAGATTAAAAATAACCTGGATAATATTAACTAACATTGTAAATTTTATCTTTAGTGTCCAAGATAAAATATTTTCTCATCCAGATTATAAATAACAATCTTACTGGTTATTATGGACTGAATTGTCTCTAAAATTCATCTATTGAAACCAGAAGCTCCAATACCATAGAACGTGACTGTGTTTGGAGATAGGACCTTTAAAAAGGTAATTAAGCTAAAATGAGGCCCTTGGGTTGGGTCTAATCCATTCTGACTTGTGTCTTTATAAGAAGAGGAAATCAGGACACACAGAAAGAGACAGCAGGATGCCCGAGCACAGAGAAAAGGCCATGTACGGAAACAGAGAGAAGCGGGCCGTCCACAAACCAAGGAGGGGCCTCAGGAGAAAGTAGACCTGCAGACTTTGAGCCCCCAGAACTGTGAGAAAATAACCTATTGTTTAAGCCATCCAGACTGTGGCATTTTATAATGTAGCCCCATCAAACTAATACCCGTGGAAGCAATTTCTTTTCTATTTACCCATTTTAATTTGCTTTCCTTAGCTATGAGAAGTAAGTTTCTCCAGTAATATATCAGTTATAACCAAACTCTTTGATAAACTTACTCATCATATTTGACATGCTGAGTCTTATTTTTTGTAAACTGGAACTGTAGGCTATAATATTGGTTTAAACTGTGAAAAACAATGGTCTTACATAGGTTTCCACATGGGCAAAGCAGATTCTATTTAATGGTTTCTGCTGACTATCCTCTACAACCAGTCCAGTTCTAAAGAATCACTGTCTAACCTAGTAGACTTTAGAGAATGATAGATGTAATATAGATATTAAGTTTCTTGTTAAATGATTTAAACTTTATAGCTTTTAACCTCTTGTAACAGAATAATAGAGTAAGAGCCCAGAGTGGCATAGGAACAAATATAATACGGTTGAAATGCATGCAATCAAATTGGATTTAATGGACACCCACTATTATGCTCTACTGTAATTTTTATATAAATAATTTTTTGGACAAATCCAGTTCATTTACTATAAGTAAGAAATGTTTGGGTGCAATTTAATTATAGAAAACGAAATGAGAACAATCATCACTTAGAGGTTTGATGTTAAAAGATTATTCATCAAAGAGCCAGGAGATCTGAGTCAAAGATGAGGTTCTAAAGAACAATGTGACCTTGAGGAATTCACTTAATCTTACAGGCTTTGTATTTATATAAGTGAAGTAATTAGAAAGAATTTTTCTGAAATCCATACAGCCTTAAGATGGTCAGACATAGGATATTAAACTTAGAGGAATTATTTTTATGTATGAACATAAAATTCCAAGAGTTTTTTTTTTTTTAAGTTGGAATTGGAAAGCCATGTGTTTGTGTCGTTTGTATTGCTCAAATTTTAAATATATTCACTGGTTCACTGATTGATTATCTAATTCTTAGACTACATTTTAAAAAAGGAAGATGTGAAGATTCTGACCATCCCTGTTTTCCAGTGCTGAAGAATCAGTGGAAGAGGAGCAGCAGTGACTGATGGCCAAGCTCACTCAAGACTAGAGATCAAATAAGGAACGACGGGAATGATTATTAACTTCCTAGAGGTGTGTGCCGAACAGGATCATTTTTATGACAACACTAGTATACCTGCCACAAGTTAAATGGGATAACTTGTGTTTTTAAAAGTTTTAAGCATCTACTATGTACCATGTTTTATATTAGATATTGCATATGCAGACATAAGAATCTCTATGTTCAAAATGGTGAGAATTTGGTAGTGTTTATATATATGACGCATGTATACATATATATATGGTACTTATATATATAGTGGTGTGTGTATATATATATGGTGTATATATTTAAATAGATCTTATATTTTAGAGTAGTTTTAAATTCGCAGCAAAATTGAGAGGAAAATATACAGTTCCCATATACTCCCTCTTCCCCCCTTTCACACAGTCTCCCTATTGCCAACATCCTGTACCGCAGCAGTGGATTTGTTACAATTGATGAGCCTCCATTGGCACATCATTTTCAACGAAATCCATAGTTTACATTGGGGTTTCCTATTGGTAGTGCACGTTCTACAGGTTTTGACAAATGTATAATGGTATGTATGTAAGTATTATGCTATCATACAGAAAACTTTCACTGCCCTAATAATCGTCTGTGTTCTGCTTGTTCATCCTTCCTTTCCTTCTAACTCTTGGCAACCACTGATATTTTAACTGTCTTCATAATTTTAGTTTTTTGAGAATTTCATATCAGTGAAATCATAGTATGTAGCCTTTTCTGTTGACATCTTTCACTTAGTAATATACATTTAAGCTTCCACCATGTCCTTGCATGGTTTGATAACTCATTATAGCACTGAATAATATTCTATCGTCTAAGAGTGCCACAGTATGTTTATCCATTCACTACTGAAGGACATCTTGGTTGCTTCCAAGTTTTGGCAACTATGAATAAAGCTGTTACAAATAGCCATGTGCAGATTTTTGTATGGATATTGGTTTTCAACTCACTTGTATAAATACCAAGGAGTGCAACTGCTAGATCATATGGAAAGAGTATGTTTAGTTTTGTAAGAAACTGTCAAACTGTTTGAGAAGCAGTCATTTTCGTATGTTGTTAGTAGAAGTTTAAACTGAAGGGAAATTTGGCCACAGTCATTAAAATTAAAACTTCTTCTGAGATGATATAAAAGAGTGATATCTCATCTACTGCTTTCAGCATGCCCCAGTGTCCAGATTTTCGTTTCTACTGTCCAGGCTTTAGTTTCCAATACCATTCTACAATAAAAGAAACTATGGTTCCTTGGAGAAATAGGTGATTCTAATGCTGAGGCAAAGAATATAGAAGATAAGCCTGAAATATTATAAAGTAGGTATTCAAAAATAAAAATAAAAAAACAAATGTCAAAGGACATAGGAGAAAACCTGAAAGAGTTCTTAATGGCCAAATTAGAGCAATTTGAGGAACAAAATGCATAATGTAATACTGCATAAACACCTTAAGAATAAATAACTATGAATCCACACTGACATAATAATTGAATAAATAAATAAATGGATTGGGACAGATACAAATCTTCCTTACAGAAGAATTCCAAATAGTTTATGTAGATAATCCCCTCTCGAAGAGGTGGAACTGAGTCTCAAATACAGAAAGGGGGAAAACTCACTTTATGGAGAAACATGGCAAAAAACAATCAAATGATGAGATTAACATCATTATTGGTGAGTCATGTAGTTAGCATGGTCCCATGATATGATGTGACTAGAAGAAATTTTATGTCTGTGGTTTTCTTCCAGGAACCCATATCCAGAGTTAGTAGGTGACAAAGCCTAGAGAGGACCCTTAGGCTGTCTTGCTCCAGAGCTGGTGTTCCTAAACCTGGAGCCCCTTCCTTATGGCTGAAGAGCAAGAGTTTAATTTAGTAAACAGTGTCCCAGTGAAACAAAAGTATATTGAGTCCTTAAAATTATGTTTTTCATTTACAAAACATGTGTCCATAGTAGGGTGCGCTGGACTAGACCTTCCCAACAAGCATGCTACGGACTACACCGCAAGTGCAATAGAGTGTGCCATGGGGCACTGCTGGTTCTAAAACCGTATAGTGATAAATACAACCATGATTTACAACCAGAAAGAAATTTAAGATGCTTCGAATTTAATTTGAGCTCCATTTGTTTATGTCTTGAATGGAAAAATTATGTTGGAATATGAGGCTTCAGAATAGCATTGAAGCCAGACGGCACGCTTGAGTTGTTGAGAGCATGTATCATGATCTTTCACCTCCATAGTAAATCTATCCAGTTGGTCTGATTAAGATACAGTCTTGATTTGTTTATTTCTACAAAATTGATGACAAAATCATCATAAAGTATAAAAATGGAAGGTCCTTGGGATATTTTTGTAGTTGTTAGGTTAACAGTTTGCTTTGAGTATTGTTGCTGTTATCTAGCATTGTTTCTCTGAAGAGAAATAGTGATGATTAATTTTCTTAATTTTTACATATATTTATTTAAATATTTATTTTCTGACATTTTATTTTAATAGCTAGCCAAAATCTAGTTGTGTTTATTGTTTGCTATTATTTATTAAACAAAAGCTATTTTAAAAACAATTAATAATGCCATTGATTTTAAACCAATTGTTTTACTAATTGTTTTCTGTAGGACTTAGAGATCTAGAAAATTAACTTGTTAAATATTTTATTAGATCCATATGTAATATGAATAGTTTGGACATGTATGGTGGTCACATCTCCAGCCTGCCAGCCCATGCAAACACCTCTCAGCTGGCTCTTGTCCCTGGTACAGAACATCTATTACTGGCTTATGCTGTGGAGCAATGTGTGTAAATAACATGGGCAGTATGCACTCTACTATCTCTTAGTATGAAAGGTTTTTTCTAAGCCCATGTTCCATTTGTCCATGTGGCACCATTGGTGTATTCCTGAGCTCTTGTCTGCAAGTCAGTCAGTGATTATTCTGCTGTAAATGTTACCAATCCTGGAGCTATGTGTTCTGGGAGACTACAGGGTTTAACTAGAACACCTGGGGGTGGAAGTTTTCCCACCTAGGTGTGATGACAGCTGGTGACTGGTGTCCAGTAACCAGGGATAGTCAGGGCCATCAAGGAATCTGCTCAGAACTTTGCAAATTTATAAAGGTGCTTACTCTAGGCACCCAAAAGAGTGGAATAACAACGAAGATGTGGGTCATTCAAAGGAAAGTTGCATTTTCTAAAAAGGAAAACCCAGTAATGTGACTGCTGGTGGTGAGAGGACTTCAGGCACTTCAGAGCTTTGGCAGGGGAGGGAGGGATCAGAAAAATACAAATGTTTTGTGGCTGGAGGCTAGGAAAATTATAAAATTTAACAGACAGGTAGAGCTGAGATGAAGCTGCAGTGGCTGCGATGAAGCTGCTGAAATGCAAACAAGTTGATGGGTTGATGCCAAAATCTGGAGTGGAATTCAGGAAACCATGGGGATGAGATGAGCAGGGGTGAGGACTAGATCTGACACATGCCTCCCTTCTTTCCTCCTAAGGGAAGTTCCCAAACATTGTTGAACTCACTATGTACTGGCGCTTAGATAACTTATTCTGGCTTTTGTGTCTGGACTGTTGTTCTTTTGTCATCGTGTATATTCAGTGTGGATGTTGAGGACACTCCAAGATTGGTTACAGTCATCACAACCCCTGTCCTTCACTTGTTCAAAAACCAGGGAAATAAGTAGCTAAGAAGGATCTATACCTAAGAAGCTGTACAACTGAAATAATGTCTTGGTCAAGCAGAAGAAAAAGTCCTTAAGTTTCTCATCGAAGAAATAGTACTGTCAGAGTTACTAGCCAATGCATTTTTCAAGTTTAATGGCCCTGACTGGACAGTAGAAGCCGCAAAAGCCTAGAGCCTTGCTGTAAACTATACAGGTTTAGGAAAAAAAAGGACTACAATTTTTCCAGCAGTATATGACACCATAAGTGTAACTGAAGATACTGCCACTATTAGACCTTGCCATGCAACCTTAGGCATTACTAATAGTTCTTTTTGTATAATGTTCTGGAGAGAAAACCAAAATCAGTTTGCCTTTGCTTGCCTGGCAAAGCATGTCAATGATGAATCATGAATGGATGGACAAATCCCAGTACAGAGTCAACTCTTGGTGGATGTACAAATGCTCTGTTACAACGATGTTTTGATAAGGGTGTCTATGGAACAACCTGTTTGTACATCACTGCATGCCATCCTATCACAAGTTGGCTAAAATTGGTATGTCTTGAATGGGAACAAAGTTCAAGGCCACATCGCCAGGTGATCACTTTGGGAATTGAATAGACTATCAGCCCAAAACACATTAAAGTGATATACTGGATCTGCACTCACCAAGTGCAAAGAAGCAAGTCTAAACATCGATTAGGCTCTGAGGAGCACTGCCATGGATCTCCATCTCTCCCTCAGACACCATGCCATATCCATCTTTGTACATCTTTTACCATCACCACAAATAAGTGAAGTTTTTGGCAAAAAGATTCCACCAGTATTCCTCAGCTGCTAAATGGACAGCTAGACTGTCACTGGCTCCTAACAGAGAAAGATTGTCCCACCAGAAAAAAAAAAAAAAAATCATGACTCTCATACCTAATATTCTCATCCTACAACAGACAATCCAATTAATGACTAGTATTAGCCCTCTAGGCCTTAGCCTCCCTCACCAACAAGCAGCTGCTCATCCGTTAGAGACAGAGACAATCTTGCTTACCACGTAAACTACCCATGATGCTTGGCAATTATAATGTGATTCATTAGGGAAATACCTTGACTTCCAGTAGGCATTTTCAATGGAATATGATAGTGATCCACTATAATGATGATGGATTCCTAATGTTGTGCCACTGGATACTCTGCATAAGGGATAAAACTTAAATGTTGTTTCTGGAGATAGAATCTAGTCTCATACTAAAGTCTGCCTTTACAGACCGATGAGACAATAATGGTCTAATTCTATTATCATTCTTTTAGAACTATATTACTATAGAGACATTCAAATAGAATGAGATATAACAATTTTTGTTCAACTCAATCTTTACGTGTCACATGTAAACGTCAAAATAAAACAGCTATATCGTAAGGAAAATAAATGGACTGTCAAAGCCAATAACATATTGTATTGTAGCCATCACCTCCACTATGGGCCAAAGGAATTACACTCTATCCCACCATGATACTGAAACTAGCATAAAGGACTGGGGTCTACAGTAAGAAATTTTGGGACATGGCTACGGACCACTGTTACTCTTAGGGTATTTGCTCTATGCCCATATCAGTCTCTTCAGCAAAAACCTCCATAAGATTGACCTTGTCATTAGCCGCTTATAAGTTGTATGTGGTCTTTCACCCTCTGCCTTAGCTGAGTGTGTAAGCACCAGAATCAGGGAGTGGAGAACAAGAATTTGAGAAGGAACTGTATGCTTCCCTCCATTTTCAAAACAAAATATTCCTTTTCAGGTTAGTGACCTCTCAAGATGGAGCAATAGTTTACAGAATGCCTGATTTTGACCTCAGGGGCTGGATAGAGAGATCAGCATGCTCTAACCAAGGACATCTGGGCAGACGTTAACATGGAGACTGACTCTGCCTCAATCAGTTCTATGGGTACTCTCCTCTGTTCCCAAAGACAAATGATGATGAATACATGGTGACTCCTGGATCTCTATACAATACATCATTCCAGAAAAAGAACATTTTGGATCATCCCCAAGGTTGGGTAGGGATGGATGTGCCCAATACTGGGAGGTGAATAATTATCTATTTTTCTATTACACACACAGACAAAGAACCCCAAATAATTTTCCGCAACTATTCTTAGCAATGTCTTACAGTATGAATTCCTTGCAAGTTTGGATATTTAGCTTCCCATGTGGTGCAGTGGTGTGATATCTCATTGACGAACCACTGCAATCTGATGTCAATCAGAACCCATGGAGTCACTTATATTTTATGAGCCCTCAAAGGCAATGGAAAGACCAATGAGAGCCAAATATGGAGGTTCCTGAAAGCTCATTTGTTTTCTCCTTTTGATAGGTCAGCCTAGCAGAGAGCTGGCTTAGATTAACTGAAGATACCATTCAAAGTTGTTTTCCAGTGATCTTGGCATGCAGACCTTGTTTCTCTGTTTTGATTCTCCCTAGTGTTTCTCAGAATACCTATGATCCCTTGATACTTCATTCACTACTTAGAAAAGCTAGGTTTTCCTTAGTACCCCACCCTTTACATACATGACATGATGTGTGGGCAGAACTCATTCTCTCTTAAAGTGCTCTCAGTCATAGAAAAGTTAAAACTCATATTCAAGTATAATGTAGTTTTATTCACACAGAAGCTCTGATACATATTGATTTAAATGATGGTATATGAGTTAATTATAACATCATTTAAATTTATACAGTCCATACAGTTTGCCAGTTTATGAGAAGAAATAGCATTACTGCCTGAAATTTCATGCTAAAGTTCATGCTATCCTGAAGAAAAGCTTTATCAAGACTTTATAATCAAAATATTTGAAAATATTTTGAGAGTGATTCTAATTTTGCAGGTTTTTGGAAGCATATTTTTGTCACCAAAAATGATTTGTAAACTGAAAATTGAATATTTTAATAAATGTAACTGAAAAATACAGCCACTGTTAAAATATAATAAGATGTTCTGACACATTTTATTGATTTAGAGCAAAAATCAACTTTTAGTAAATTTTAAAGTGTTCCAGAGTTATTGTTTGGATGGTGTTACAATTTTATTTCTAAAAATAGCTATTAAAACTAGTAGAGTAATATCTATGTAGACTTAAGACAAAGCTTCATTGTAATTATACAATTTTTGGTTGAAAATTACTTGTATTCATATTTTAGTTTGTGTTATGGCTAATTTCATCATTGTATTGTTCAATTAAAGAAAAGGAAGAGCTGATAGAACTATGGAAGATTTTCGCCCTTGAAATACAATTTTAAAAAGTCTGGATGGCAAAATTCTAGTTAATAGAGATAAAGACAGTTTCTGCCAATTAGAGAAAAACTGAGAAACACTCTTCTGTCATTTGCTACCACCTATCTGTATGGACAGTTTCCTACCAATTTGGATTCTCAGAATGTAAACAGACAATCCATTAAAAGCCTCAGTAATTAGTTGGATGTGACAATTGTGAGCATAAAATTTAATATTATAAAATTATGTGGGTGAGTGATGTCAGCATCATGGTGAAGTGAGTTGTCCCCTTAGGCTCTCCCCTTTAAAGTACAATTAAATGGACATTCATTAACCAGCAGAAGATTCCCTGCACAGCACAACAGGACTTCTGAGAGATCTAAGCAGCTATACACCCGAAGCTGGGTGGATTGGATCCCTGGGAGGCAGTGGAATGAGGTGAGCACACCTCTTGTCCCCCCCAATTATAGTGAGCCAGCTCACAGATCCTCACACAGTGGCCAGCATGACTGTAAGAGGAAGTGAGGACAGCCTGGCCCACAGGAGTGTCCACTGTGCTGTGGCAGCCCCTCCAGTGGGAACACTCTGTGCTGAGTAGCAGTGACTCAGCCTCTGTAAAGGCACCTACCCACTGAGCACAGTGCAGGTGATAAGGCACCTGATGCACTCATAAGACGCACCTGCCCACAGACTACAGCAACCTGGAGGACCCACCCATGGAGCACAGCAGCCTATGAGACCCACCAAGTGGCAGTTCAGCCTCCCTGTACTGTCCCTCTCACCTAGCATCCAGAAGCTCAAGCAGTCCCCTGTTGAGAACAGAGACTCCACCTATGGTGCCAGATGCACCCGCACAGTGCAGAGGCCTTGCCCAAGTGAGCACAACCTGCAGAATGGCTGTGGCTAGCCCAGGCAAAAGCAGAGTAGCCCTACCCACACAACTTCCAGCAGACGGGGCAGGATCAAAGAACAGCCTCTGCTCCCAAGCAGCGGTCGCAGATGGGATCTGATCTGATACTACAACTTTGCTGGCAAAGGATCAATTCATCAAACAACACGAAAAACTACATTAACACCTGAGAGCAAAAGGAAAATTACAAGTTTCTGGAAACCAATCCTGAAGTCACAGAAATTTGCAATCTAAATGACAGAGAATTCAAAATAGTTGTCATAGTTGAGTTGTCATATAGAAACTCAATAACTTAGAAGAAAATACAGAAAGAGAGTTCAATGAGCTCAGGAATAACACTAATGAGCAGAAAGAATGGTTCACCAAAGAGATTGAAACTCTAAAAAAAACAAACAGAAATTCTGGATATGAAGAACAGAATGAGATAAAAAATAACCTAGAAACCATAAAAAATAGAGCTGATCTTATGGAGGACAGAATTAGTGAATTACAGGACAGAAATGCTTCAAGTATAGGAGAAAGAAGCAAGATTTTTTAAAAATGAAGAAGTTATTTGAGAAACATCTGACTAAATTAGGAAAGGAATATAACGGTTGTAGGTATTCTAGAGGGAGAAGAAGAGGAGAAAGTAGCAGACAGCTTGTTCAAAGAAATAATTGCTGAGAACTTCCCAAACATGAGTAAGAAAATGAACTTCCAAGCACATGAAGCCCCTAGAACTGCTAATTACATCAACGTAATGAGATTTTCTCCAAAGAATATAATATTAAAACTGGCAAAAGTCAGTGACAAAGAAAAAATATCAAGGGCAGCAAGGCAGAAGAAAACCTACAAAGGAATCCCTATCAGGCTTTCAGTAGATTTCTCAGCAGAAACCTTACAGGCTAGGAGAGCATGGAATGATATACTCAAAATACTCCAAGACAAAAACTTTCAGTCAAAATATTCTATCCAGCAAAACTATCCTTTAGATATGATGGAGAAATAAAAGCTTTCTCAGACAAGCAAAAGCTGAGAGAGTTTATCACCACCAGATCTCCCTTATAAGAAATGATGAAGGAAGCCCTCCTACCTGAAACAGAAAAGTAAAGGTTTACTGAGCTTTAAGCAAGGAGATAAATAGACAAAATCAGAAAATTGCATCTCTCTATCAGAACAGGTTAGCAAACACTTAATTATAACACAAAAGATAAAGGGAATGAAAGCATCAAAAATGACTATAAACACTTCAATTTAGTCACAAACTTAAAACACACAAAAAAGAATAATTAGTGACAACAATAACTCAGAAGAGGAAGAGGAGAGGGATGCAACCTGCTTAGGCCAGTAGAGATATGAAACTATCAGAAAATGGACTATCTCATCTATGAGATCTTTTATACAAACCTCATCATAATCACTAAACAAAAAATTAGAATAGTGCCACAAATCATAAATGAAGAGAAAACCAAGACCATCACAGAAAAGCCATCAAACTGAAACAGCAGTCAGAAACACAAAGGGAGTCAAACAATGGCAATATAGAACAACAGATAAAATGGCAGTATTAAGCCCTTATATATCAATAATCACTCTAAATGTAAATGGATTGACTTCTCCAATTGAAAGCACAGAGTGGTTGGATAGATTAGAAAACAAGACTGAACAATAGCTGACTCCAGGAAACACATCTCGGCTCTAAAGACAAACATACGCTTAGCGTGATGGGATGGAAGATGATACTCAGAGCAAATGGCAAGCAAAACAAAGCAGGTGCCATGGTACTTATATGAGAAAAAACAGATTTCAAGATTAAAAAAGACAATAAGAGACAAAGTGGGGCAGTATATAACGATAAAAGGGACATTCCACCAAGAGGAAATAACACTTATGATTATGTATGCAACTAACAAAGGAGCTCAAAGGTATATAAAGCAACTACTAACAGACCTAAAGGGAGAAGCTGACAGCAAGAAAATAGTAATAAGGGACCTCAACACTCCGCTTACATCAATGGAAAGATCACCCAGACAGAAAGTCAACAAGGAAACAGTGGCTTTAAATAAAACATTAAACCAGACGAACTTAATAGATAAATATATAACATTGCATCCAAAAACAGCAGAATATACATTCTTCAAGTTCACATGGAACATTCTCAAAGATAGACAATATGTTGGAAAACAAGGCAAGCCTCAATAAATTTAAGACATTTGAAATCACATCAAGCATCTTTTCCAACCACAATGTTATGAAACTAGAAATCAACTACAAGAAAAAAGCTGGGAAAGCCACCAATATGTGGAGACTAAACAACATGTTACTGATCAATGAAGAAATGAAAGGAGAAATCAAAAAGAAATCTGGAGACAAATGAAGATGAAAGTACAACATATCAACTCTTATGGGATGCAGCAAAAGTGGATTTAAGAGGGAAATTTATAGCAACACTGGCCAAGAAAAATTTCAAATACATAATCTTAAATGATACCTAACAGAACTAGAAAAAGAAGAACAAACAAAGCCCAAAGTCAGCAGGAGGGAAATAACAAAAATTAAAGCAGAAATAAATGAAATAGAGACTAAAAAAACAGTAGAAAGGATGATTCCTTCCTTCATCATAATAGCTGGTTCTTTGAGAAGATTAAAAAATTGACAATCCCTTTGCCATACTCACTAAGAAAAAAAGAGAGAAGGTTCAAATAAATAAAATTAGAAATGAAAGAGGAGAAATTACAACAGATACTACAGAAATACAAAGGATTATAAGAGAATGCTATGAAAAACCACATGCCAACAAATTAGATAACCTAGAAGAAATGGATAAATTCTTAAGATCATGCAGCATCCCAAAACTGGATCAAGAAGAAATATAGGGGGCCGGACTGGTGGCACAGCAGTTAAGTTCGCATGTTCCACTTCGGCGGCCCAGGGGTTGCCAGTTCAGATCCCGGGTGAGGACATGGCACCATTTGGCAAGCCATGCTGTGGTAGGCATCCCACATATAAAGTAGAGGAAGATGGGCACGGATGTTAACTCAGGGCCAGTCTTCCTCAGCAAAAAGAGGAGGATTGGCCCCAGATGTTAGCTCAGGGTTAATCTTCCTCAAATTAAAGA